TTCCTCTCTCATTCATTGGCACTAGTAATTAGTTTTGGCCCTAAAACTGTCACCCTTTACTCTAGAAAAGGCAGATGTGATTTGAGGTGCAATTTAATCTTGCTTTAATGAAGAACTAATGGACGCATTGCAAATTACTTTTTCTCCCCCCTTCTCTTCCAACCCTCTGTGTGATTGAACGGGGGTGGGGGGGGAGTGAAAAAAATCTATTTCCTGCTTTTGAAAAGATCAAGAGTATCTTTGATAATGGTGAGAGCGTCACCGGCAGCTTCATTGCATCGAGCCAACAAGCTCTTTTAGCCGAATCACAATTCAGTGGAGAGGAGGCCACAATTAGTGACAAAGCACAGAGAGCGCTGTGGGGCCCGGGCAAGCAGAAAGCCTCCCGGTGCTCCAGGCTCCTTGTTAGAAACAGGCCCTGGAGGTGTCACACAGGAACAATGAGGCCTGATAAATTACCCCTCAAAAAAAGAAAAAAAAAAAAAAGATGTACTGCTAATTTTCAATTACACCTATAATGCATTCCCAATTGGAAAGCGAAATTGGACATGTGTGGAGGAGAACAAACAGTCATAGGCTCAACACTCGTCCCTCTGTTTGTGACACTGTCGCTCACTGAGGGCTTATGATATCCAGAGTCTATTAGCAATAAATGACACGGTGTTTAATGTGGCAGCTCGTTGGTGATTTGGCTCCACAGATACAGAAAGAGAAACATAGACAGAAGGGAGCAAATATTGGTCCCCAATAATATCTTGTCAATACATTAGATTTTTGTCAAAGGATAATCATTGGCAAAAGAGGCAAAATTGCATTCTTATCTAATTTAGCCCAATTTCTAAAATGATGATGTTGTTTGGAAAATGAACATTTGTACGTGCCTCTTTCTGAAGAGAGAAAAGAGAGGAGGAGATGAGTGTGTGTGCGTGCGTGCATATGTGTGTGTGTGTGAGAGAGAACTGCCTGTCTGCAGCTCTCTAAACCACTTAAGGGCCACTGTGTTTCAAACTGGCATCGCTAACGGATGATGTAGTAGAGAATATATCAAGGCCAAATAATAGTCCTTGAAATGGGTGAAAAGGGGATGTGAGAACTGAGGAGGGTCAGACATGTGGAACATGTGTATCTGTCTTTTTGTATGTGTGTGTGTGTGTGTGTGTCTGTGTGTTCGTGTATTTGACTACAGCCAGAGCTAGAAGGCAGAAAGCCTAATGGGAGTGGGCTTAACTCCTGCACACAGCCTCACTACATATCTGATTACTGGGACCAGTAATTTTCTTTCCTTAAATAAGGAAGAAATTGGATAGGATGAATGAAATTTGGCTGTCATATTGCAATGATGGTGCAGCAGGGAGATTATGTGTTTCACATAATCGTTCATCATTTCCCAACCAGTGTTCGGGCTTAGCATAATGGAATTGGTAAACTGGTTTAAATCAGAACGTGAGGACAGACTATCAGGCAGACTGTGAGGGTCTGTGGTAATGTCTTCAGACCAAACAGAATATTTTCACCACAGAGCTGCACGCGAACTGAATTACACACAGTGCGAATACTACAGGAACACGGCGTTTTCATCTCCGCCTCATCACAGCGACAGAACACGTTGAAAGATACCTCAGCACATCCTGAAAGATGTACCTTTTTATTTTTTTTAGGAATCTAAATACAAAATATAATTTGTATTTAGATTCCTGCACCTGGTTTTACATTTTTTTATACATGCATTTAAAGCTAAACAGTGTACATCATTAGTCATTTCACCTAATAGCAAAGTGTACTGTCTTATTCTGAAAGAATTTATCCTTGGATCAAAGCTCACTAGAACAAAACATAAAACTGCAATTAAGAAAAAAACAGATTATTATAAATCCTTATGGGGTATATTGATTTAAATTCAGCCTGTGATTATTATGTTCCACATAACACATTATACGTAAAACCACTGTGCTTTTAGGGTAAATCCATATACTGTATATTTATTTTTTACAACTTCACATTATTATTTATTGAATTGTATTTGGACACGGTGGACGTTTTGAAGAAATAAATGTCATAATTCATTCAATTATATTATTTTTGTTTTGTTTTTGTTTTTCAGGCATGTGTTGGCATAGCCCATTGAAAGGTCATTTTGGAAAAAAGACCATTTCAAATAAATCTTTGGTATTTAAAGTGTAGTGAATTATATGATGAAATAATTGCTGTCTGATAAATAAATCCTGTGATTTTAATATTGAACTTAACCTTAAGATTTAAAAAATATACATTGTCAGCACCTGTTGAAGTGTTAAGCAACACTTACATGGTTCCGAGTACATTTCTGTGTCTAGTGTCAGTATATCTTTACATAATTCACACACAGTTACACACAATGATATAAGAAGACAAATGTTCACTTTCTATGTGTTTCAGTTCGTTCTTCTTAAGAAATAAAGATCATTGTCATATGCGTCATTCTGTGAATTTTTACTGAAATTCTGTTCATCTGGGAGTAAAAAAATCTTTCCAGGTATTTTAGTTGAATTTTGATGTTGGGGCTTTCCTCTTTATTTGCAACCGCGCAAACAGATATGACCACCAATTTGTTGCAAGTGATCCTTTGGGGTTTTTAATAACTAAACAAATGTCCAAGTGACATTTCCAAACTGACACAAAATGAATCTGTTCTCCATCCAACTTGACGTGTATCGATGAACAAAAATACTAGCTTGCAAATATCAGTGTACACTGTGTACACACTGATGTTATATTGCTGAGGATGATTTATAGTTTATCTCTGGTGCAGTCTGATGGTCTGATCAGAAATAATACAGCATCTGCTGCACAGTGATAGCAGACCTCAAGAGAATAACTAATCGCCACTAGGTGTCACAGTGGCTGTTTGTAAAAGATGAGCCAGCACCTGCTCTCTGTTTGTCTGTCTGCCACACAGTCTTATGTGTTACATGTTCCTCTACCAAATCTACAGAGTAACCCTGCCGGGGAGCTTTTAGAAAACTATACCTAAATAAATAAATGATCAAAAAATACACTCAAATTAGGTGTATTTTTCCTGTGAAAATGGGGATAAAATAATATTGGATTCAAGCACCATTAGCTGGAAGCAAATGTCACCTGCACTGGATGTGAAGGTATTCTCAGTACTTGAGATATTTTGACAATTTTGAACATTTTTTGGTCAGCTGTTTTGTATTACACGGCTTTTATACACTTTTCTCTGTGCAGGAGAAATGAAGATCTCTTAAAAGGTAATGTGAACTTGGCTACCTGTGATAAATCATTATACAAATGAGCCAAACTTACTAATGTGAACACAAGGAAATAGGCCATTGCATCGGAATAATAAGAATAATTCAAGAATAATGAATACTGCATTACTCCTCAGAATGCACACTAGGGGAGAGATGTGCTAAAGAGTTCTCTTCTTCCCATATCTTTTTAGCACAACAAAATGATAAAAATACAGAAACTCTGAATTTTAGAGAACTGTAGCTTTTGCTGTTAATAAAGCAGTTTGCTGATTACTCATTATGTTGTACTACACACCAATGTATGTCAGTTGGCTGATAACAGAAACACTGAAAATAAGTTTGTCAGTAAGGCATTGCACCACAGGTTTCTGGAACACTATGCAAAAAAAAAACCCCATCTGTTGTGTTGTCCAAAATATTTTGGTAATATTATAATTAACATTACCAACCTGTGCATGTACCCGGTGGCTATAATATCTATTTGGGGTCTTTTTTTTTGGAAGCGCACCAATTATTTTAGTAACTACTGTCATCATTCTGGAAGAATGAACTTTCATCAGGACCATAAATGCTTCACTGTAGGACAAATGTCATCACTCTGTATGACTTTGAAGTGACTTGTGCGTACAATGGCAAAGCAGGGATTGAAAAGGGAATCACTGGACCAAATCCCCACCTGTAAAAAAGAGGCGAACAGTCAGAACTCTTTGCAAAAATGAGGTGAGGTCCCTGTATTCTTCTTTTTTTCCCCCTTCTTCTAAGGCACCACAAGTTTGCCTTTTCAGAGCTATTCATCATACTGTTTAATTTTTCCCTGCTGCTCAGTACACTGCTACATTTTCTTATACCTGAGAAGATGTAGTTTCATAGGCAGGTAAAGCTGGATTTTTAAAATGGGTTTAAACACTGGAAATTAAAAAACTAAAAACTGGAGCATGTATCTCTTAAGTTTGAATCTCGCACCACAGTCTAACCACAGGTGAACAAAGCATTTGACCCTTTTTCTATAACTCTCATTACTGATGATGTTTACTATTAGAGCAGCGTTTCAAGCTGTATCCCAATAAAAGAGACCTACATTTATATTCTGATAGTGCACTTTTTTTTTCTTTTTTCTTTTTTTTTTTTACAATTTCATACAAATTTAGAACTGTTGACAGTAGAGTCCAGGAAAGTAATTCTGAAGTAGCAGCAGATAGTTGCCCCTCCTTAAGGCGGGTACTTCCTGTTAAGATGGTGTTTTTCTGTTCCACCCTCACCTAGTGCCTAGTCATAGGGGTACGTTTGATTGTTGGGCTTTTCATTCTAATGCTTTAAGCTCTTTACCTTGCAGGATGAAGTGCTGTGAGGTAACATTTGCTATGATTTGGCAGTATGCAAATAAAATGAACCTTAATTGAATTCCATCAGAAATTGACTGTCTTTAAGTTTGTGGGTTTTTTTTTCGGTACTCCACTACATTTCCAGAGTAAATATCGCTCCTAAATATCACATCCTCAGACCAAACTTTTTGTGTTACAATCCTTCTGCAAGGAAACACTGCTCCGGAAACTAAAATTTACTTTTATAATTTTACTTTTTACTACAAGTATTGCATCTGAGTCAGCTATCTTGACTAGGTCAGTTTGGTTGTCTGTGTTATTGCAAAAATTGGAATAACATGTACTGAAAGTGATTTAGTAGGTGTCTTCTAATGGTCATTACAACAGCAAGAGTAGATACAGCAAATAGTAACTATAGCAACAAGCTCTGAATGTATGTTAGCAATAAAACGGGACTGAAACTACAAAACATAAATAAAAGGGCATTCATCTTTTGTAGTTTCACTTTTGGTTTGTCAGGTAAGCTACATTAGAATAACAAGTTATATTTTCATTTTAATTCAGTTTTGAATGTGCAAATTTTACATGTACTTGGTTGTTATACATTTTACTGGTGCTAAGATGTCAAGTCCTCCTGACGCTTGAAGGAGCACCTGTCGTCCCAACATCCTTTGCGTTTCCAATATGGAAGAACTGGCGGTGGAGGTCCGTGGCTCCAACGGGGCTTATTACAAGGTAAATACCGGCTTATCAATGCAGTTTCAAACATAAAAGTTGTTCATACGGTACAGTATTCTAGTTTAAGTCTCGTGGATTGTGGCAACATGATCCGACTTCCTCTGTACGTACCCGAGAGTTCGATATTAGCTTGTACTAGCAATGCTAGCCATAATTAGCAAGCTAAGCTAGCGTCACTCCCATGTCCTCGCCAGCTGACACTTTTGAGGACCTTTCTTCAAAGCCAGTTTGGAAGAACCGCAGTCTTGCATGGGATAACTTGAATATGTAACACAGGGCAGGTGTTATTAATTTTATTTGACTTCTTGTGCCGCTTTCTCGAGCTGAAAGTTAGCTAACTTGATAGTTGCCTAGCTGTTGACGTCGAAAGATGTTGCTGAAGTAAGTAGGATCTGCATGTGTCATCATTGGCTATTGAGCTGATATCAGAAACACGGAGGACCAGCCCATTATACCTTGAAGCAGTTTATTAAAGTGTGTCGTGTTGTGAAGGCACTATGGTTGGTGGTGTGAGAGATTTTGAAGTCTCTCTGCACAGACTTCACGACTGACTGTCGCTGTCTATTATTTGATACTCCATCATGCCGAAGCTATTTTTCGGTATGTGTGAGCCAGCTGTTCCTTGTCAATCCCGACCAGCTGGCATGTCGAGTGGGTCACTGATACCATCGACTTTAAAGCTATTTCTAGACGTGCTGCCCACAGCAACACCCTCGCCTCTTCTCCCCCTGTGTCTCCTCTCTCTTCTCATTTTTCTCCAGACTTCAAAGTTTTTCTTTCTTGTCTCACCTTCACAGCCCATGACTTCTTTTGTACTACTGCATTTTCACACTGTTCTCATTGCTTTTCCTTATTTAACACACCCTCTTTTTTCCTGGGCGATTCTGTCCACTCTGCCACCCCTGTGTCTTAAACTCTTTAGACATACGTGTGTGTGCTTTCTTTGAATGTAATCAACACCGTCCTTCACGCAAGCGAGACACATGGCTTAAATAAGTGTCTGAACGCATTGAACCTGGGGTTCAGTACTTCCAAGTCTGGTGTGTAGTGTTGGGTACCTCACGTTTGACACTAGCACAGGCGTTGTGCCAAAAAATGATCCACTGCCAAAACTGATTTCTGATGTTTCTGTGTGTGCGTGTGTGTTTTCTTTTTGTTGGTGTTTTTTTAATGATATCTTTACTTATGTTGTTAAATAGACTGTAGTCATTAGGACTTATGTAGGAGTTGTACGTTAAGTAAGGAAATTACTAGTTTTACAGTGTTTTTATGTCTCTCTGTTATTGTGCCTGTGTATAAAAGAACTGTGATGATATATTTGTTGCGTTTTCCACTGCCCTCTTGGCCAGATCTCTCTTGAAAAAGGCTTTTGTAATGTCAATAACACTTTCTGGATAAATAAAGGATATATAAAAGTAATTTTGCAGCTTCTACCCTATGATAGGAATGTTGTTTCTAGCATCAAAATGACGTGATACCTTTCATAAGAGATATATTTGCCATATTTGACAGATTATAGCATATCAAGTAATTTTACAACAGATTAAATACAGGCGAGGATTTTTTTTTGTCAAATGCTGGAAAGCAGTTCAAACTTAAACTTGCAAAACAAGTCCATACTTATCAAATATATCATTTTGTTTTTTATTTATTTAGATATTTTACACACTAATCTATCTGTGTTGGTCGCTATCTGTTACCATCAGTGGTGCTGATGTCACTGTCAGTGTTAGCATACCACAGTATTAAATAGTAGTGCTAGACTATTATCGGTTGTGGTTGCGTACTAAGGTTTCAGACATGCTATCTCACATAGTGTAAGAAAGTATGATTGTTTACTGCAGATAATATTCTAATATGCTAATAAATGCAGTGTTAAACATGTTAAAACATAAACTAAGACAGTGACAACAAAGCTCTCTTTCTCCCGAATTACCTGAAGAAGCTCATGAGGCTATCAGTGTCTCACTAAAATACTTTTCTTCAGTTCGCTGCCACTGCCATTGTCCTTTTGTTTTTGTTGTTCTTTTGTTTGTTTTCTGGTACGTTTTCTGGAAAGTTGCTGGTTTCACTGCCTGCAAGTTTGGCTTTGATTCAAAGACAGGAGGCCGAGCTGGAGGTGGCAGAAGTGAAGATGTTTAGATTAAGTTAGAAAATGTAATGTAAGAACAAGATTAGAAATGATGTTGTACATCAGAGCAACAGCTCAAGTTGAGCATATTGTAGACAAAGTTAGAGAGGCAAGGCTGAGATGGATGAAAAGGATGTTGAAGATGGAGCTGCCAGGCAGGAAGAAATGAGGAGGACATCACAGATGGTTTATGGATGTAATGATGGAGGACATGCAGACTGCTGGTGTGACAAAGAAGAATGCTAGGGATAGGGTGACATGGAAGCAGATGGTCTGCTGTGGCAGCCCCTGAAGGAACCAGCTGAAAGAAGTCTTTGTTTATGGCTTTCAGATTTTACTAGTCCAGTTTTAAGACCTCTGCTGCTGAGATTTAACAACAGTGTGGTAGTTATTACATTTTTTCATCCATATGAAAAATTAAAGCCATTGACGATCAGTTTACTAATAGATAAATGCCCTGCTCTTATTTTGAAAGTTTGGCTGCTATTACTCATTGAGTGTTGTGGCAGTCATCAGTATCAGTCAGCTGCTAATTGACATCCAACATCCTGAAAGTTGGAGTGAAGCTGTGGGAGGCTATGCTACTTGGTTATTAAATTATTTGCAGGGGAGAAAAGTATTTAAAAATCAGATAATATAAACACATTATGTAATAGTTCTTTTAAGAAAGCCAGTGTGTGCCTTCTATACACAAAAGCTCAAGATCACTTATCTGCGTGCACATGCCCACCTCCTCCACCAACAAATTGAATCTAAATCTGTGGGAAACGTAGTTATGTTCACATTCAGTTTTACACTTTGTGCTGTCACACTGTATCCTAGTGTTTAACAAACGTGTTCAATTCGCTTCTTTTCATGCAGGGTTTTTAAGTATTTTCAAATTCATTATTGTGCACATCCTTGTTTACATCCTAGCACTTTTCTTCAGAATTGTTTGCTAGTGCTGTGCATATCTTAGCATGTTACTGTGAGTTGTATAAAGATGAGACAGTGGCAAACAATCAGCAGGAGTGTGCATCTTGTCAACAATGTGTATATACTTTGTGTGCATGCACAAAATAAAAAAAATGGGTTTCCATACCCGAAATGTCCCTTTCTCTTCTAGACATAAAAAAGCAGGAACTATATTTAACCGCTGATCTGTGTTTCTGTCCCTCCTGCAGGGCTTTGTCAAAGATATCCACGATGACTCTCTCACCATTGCCTTTGAGAACAAGTGAGTCTTTACTTCTTCTGCATTTGACCAGTTTTCATAAAACATGTAAATTTAATATTTTATCATAGATCCAGAACCACCATGTTTTAGGTAAAATAAAAAAATTGGGTCTTTTTTTTGTCAGTTGGCAGCCAGAACGCCAAGTGCCCTTCAGTGATGTCAGGATGCCCCCACCTGCTGATGTCAAGAAGGAGATTGGAGAGGGTGACGAGGTGGAGGTAAGGACACATATATAAGTTCTCTCCTTTTTTCTTTTCCTCTTGTCCTCACCTGCTTCTTTCTATATGTGCCTTATCCTGCTTGTGTTTTTGTCTCCTGGCAGATCTTTTCTAGAGCCACTGAACTTGAGCCGTGTGGTTGGTGGTTGGCTAAAGTCCGCATGATGAAGGGAGATGTGAGTAAAACCTTTTTTGTATATGTGACTAGAGGCACTATGAAGAGTATCCTACTTATTCATTTTTTTTGTTGAACCTTTCCATATTTCCAGTTCTATGTGATTGAGTATGCAGCCTGTGACGCGACTTACAACGAAATAGTGACCTTTGAACGTCTGCGTCCGGTCAACACCAACAAGGCCATCACCAAGAACTCCTTTCACAAGTGCTTTGTCCCGGTTCCTCAGGATCTACAAGAAGCGTATGTACAGCACCTTTACAGCAACAAAATTAGAGACAGACAGATTCTAACCAAATTCACAGGCTTGTTTAGTTCATTAGCAGTGAGAGTGTGTCTATGCAGTAGAGCCTTTATTGTACCTGTTATATATGGTCTGTCTCGTTTTTTCAGTAGATGTGAACTGTTTGTTTAAGGATTGGAAGGTAATATGTTTTTTGTTTTTTGTGGACAGGTGCCAGAATGAAAATGCTCATAAAGACTTCAAGAAAGCCGTGGGAGCCTCTCACATCTCATACTGCCCTGAGACCAGCCAACTAGTGATTGTGGTAACTGGCTTTCTGTGATTCTGTGGTGACATGTGGATATGTACAGTAGCACCAAGGCTACACCTTTATCCTGCCCTGCATGTTTGTGTAATACATGACTCAGCTGTTCATTTCTTTTAGTGATTATGAGCAGAGGAGTATCCCCACATATTTGCATAAGTCTTTTTATTTCCCGTGTGTGTGTGTGTTTTAGTCCACCAACGAGACGACAGTGAAGCGTGTGTCTTTGCTGAGTGACATGCACCTGCGCAGCCTCAGGACCAAGCTACTTCTAATGTCACGCAACCAGGAAGCCACAAAACACCTTGAGGTAGGGTGATGGCAAGAAAAAGATCTGTTACTGAGATGTTCTGGGGTTACTGTTTGCACTGTAGTTGCCTTGGAACAATCTCAGTTGGTAGTTCAGGCCATTTATTATGGTAAATGGTAAAATACAATCCTACTGCTTAAAGTAAGCTAAAACAATAGCCAAATTATACTTTTTAGTTGAGCAATTGTCATTTTGCTTATAGCTTTTTATTGTGCCATTTAGTATTGGGCAATGATCTCCAGAGACTGATTGTTGTATAATACCATAATATAATACAATAATTGAGGTGAGAGAGTGGGGTTAACATAGTGCGGTGCACCTAATGCAAGCTGTGTAGCTGAAACTTAAAAATAAGAGAAAAAAAGAAAGAAAGAAGTAGGTAAGTAAGTGGCAAGTTTATTTTCTGCTTCCAGTTCAAAAAGAACTAACGTGTGCTCTTCCAGCAGTGTGGCCTTCATATACAGCAGGGATGGGGGAACTCCAGACCTCAAGGGCTGGTGTCCTGCGGGTCCTTGATCCAACACAGCTGATTTAAATGGCTAAATTACCCTCTCAACATGCCTTGAAGTTCTCCAGAGGCTGGTAATTAAGTAATCATCTGATTCAATGTGTGCTGACCCAGGGTGATATCTAAAATCTGCAAGACACCAACATTTCAGGCCTGGAGTTCCCCACCCCTGATATACAGTGAGGGATGATTTAGCCTATCATTGGGTGACTGTAAGTAGGCGGATGCTAGCTGAACAGCAAAAACTGTATAAAGTTATAACATTTGACACTTTTTTCTTTAACTAAACTTTTTTTTCAACAAACTTGTTCAGTCTATTTTGATTGTTTTGTTTTTTTTAATTTCATTTTCTTTTTGAAGTAGCTCACCTGTCTCTGCTCAGCCCTGCATCATGTGCTCCTCATACATATTAATCTTTTAATCTAAAGAAGTTAAGGAAAGAAGAGAAAGTAGCATCTTTCCAAATACTTTAAAGTCACATCTACAGACAGGAATCCTCTTCTTCTTTGACCTCTACTTTTGTGATGGTGGATCAGTGTAGCCGTTCCTTACAGAGTTTGAAGTTGCATCTGTGTCACAAGTGTCAGTAATATGTAGAAATACTGAAATGAAGATATAGTGAAACTGATGAAGTTAATGACTCATGAATCTGATAAGTGTAATGTAATGCATGGAAAAACAAGACAAAAAAATTTCTTGATTGGCAAGCCACTAGCAGTTACTCTGATCATTATCAGTCCATGAGCTCAGCATCCTTGGACACAACCATATTACCAAAGATATTTCAATAATCGTAACCTCTGTAAGGTCGAGCATTTAGTTTTTGAGTTTAAATTAACAGTACGCTTAAATTTGTTATTGTTCAGTTTTTGTACAGGATGAAAGCTTCAGGCAGAGCTGACTGAGTTCATTGATTGTGACTATGTCTTGTGTTTTTCGTAGAACTCCAGGCACTTGGTGTCTTCCTTCCAGGAGGAGTTTACAGTGAGACTGGATCTAATGGGCCTGGCCATTGGCAGCCATGGTAGCAACATCCAGCAAGCCCGGAAGGTTCCAGGTGTAACTGCCATTGAGCTGGATGAGGAGTCAGGCAATTTCAGGATTTATGGGGAGGTAGGTTGGTAATACAGGGGGTAGTAGGGTTACTGGATTGTACACTGGGTAAAATAACTATTAAACACGTCACAAATGATCTAAGTCACTTTTTAAAGATGCTATTGACATAAAATTCTCACCAGATGTCAGCCAATCCATACATGCAAAGAAATCAAACCATAGATGTCCATTATGTGTAATAATGAGAAATTACTCAAGTTACTAAAGTTCATTCAAGTATTTCAAGTATTAAAGTATTTCATGGGCTTGTCTAAATGTTGTTCAGCAAACCTTAATCACACTTCAACATGCTTTTTCTTCAGCAATGGAGTCTTGCATGGTGAGTACAATTGTACTAAAACAATTGTACCTGCTGATTCCAGGTCTTTCTGTTGCTGGGCTCTTGAACAACTCTTCTGATAATTCTTTTCACTCCGCTGTTTGAAATCTTATAGGGAGGTTGTTTTATGTTGAAAAATTTGCAGCAATAAGGTTGTGAAGGTCTTGCGAGAGCTCATTGGTTTTACCCATCTTGTGTGTTTCTTGTGAGACATCTTAGTAATGGGACAGCTTTTTATAGGCCATCAGTTGGGACTGAATCAGCTGATAATGAATTTGCACTAAGTGGGAGGATTGCTTTCTAGTTACTGATAGATTTCAGCTAGTGTCATGATTTTCCATGCCTTTTTTCACATTTTTCATGGGTTGTTACCAATGTCTAGTGACAATTTGATGTCAAAAGCACCTTTAGAAACATATTTACTTAGAGAATTGGTGACCTGTTCAATACATATTTTACCTTCTGTATATAAAAGCAAAGTAAAAGTAATTTGCACATCAAAATCAGTAAATATTTAGTATTTTATCTAGCTTAAATTGGCTAAATTGTCTTTCAGTATATATTGAATTATCAGCAGGGCTTTATTATTCTATACAACAACATGGTTGTTACTCACGTCTTAGCTCCTGCCAGTGAGGATGTGAGAAAGAGAAGTGATGACGAGGGTGACATGGTGTTTAACATGTGCACTTAAACTGGTAAACAGTATAGATGCTTTCTCTAATAGTGAACAAGAAGAGAAGTAATAACATATCTTTCTTATGAAATTGTTGCTTTTAGTTGACGAGATTCCTACAAAGAAATGAACACCATTTAAAGAATCCATAATTATTCCTGTATGGCAGGTTATGTGTGACGTAATATGAAAATGCTGACATGAAATTGGATTTGCTAAGTCTCTTTTTTTAATGGTCTCACATGGAGAATGTTATTTATAAGAGAAATAGCGTGGGACTCTTTAGACGTGGTCTTTGTGTAAATACTGTACATGTTGTACAGTGGTAACTGGGTTGTGTATATGTTTTAGCTGAGTGTGTAATATATGTAAGCGACCCTGTGTCTTCCTTTAGACAGCAGAGGCGGTAAAGAAAGCCAGAGGCTTCTTGGAATTTGTAGAGGATTCGGTCCAGGTGCCAAGAAACCTTGTTGGTAAGTAGATTCAACTATTTTAAGAAGGGTATAAAGAAGTTGGTATTTAGTAACAGCAATGAATAATTAGTAACAAGTCATTCATTCATTCAGTACATTATTTGCTCAACTTCTCAGCAACATGAATTAAATTTTTAAACAAAAACTTTCATATACTCAGTTTACTAGTGTCTCATCTTTTTGACCTAAGCTGCGACGTCCCACCTTTTGATCTTTTTCTCTTTTCTTTGTCTTTAGGCAAAGTGATTGGTAAAAATGGTAAGGTCATCCAGGAGATAGTGGACAAGTCCGGTGTGGTGCGTGTCAGGATAGAAGGAGATAACGATACCAAGCAGCCCAGACAAGAAGTAAGCCTGCTACTGCGATGTGTTTACCCCCAACTGATAAAGCACTGATCACTATGACAGATGTTTAAAAGTCTATAGGAGTCAGAGCGTACAAACAGTGTCATTTAGTTGGACAGTCCCATATTAACATCTGTGTTGTGTTTTTTTTTTGTTTTGTTGACACAGGGAATGGTCCCATTCACATTTGTCGGCACTAAGGAGAGCATTGGCAACGTTCAGGTCTTGTTGGAGTACCACATCTCTTACCTAAATGTACGAGCACCTTTGTGTGTGAGCGTGCACGTGTGTCTGCGTGTTGCGTTTGCTAACCTTTTTCAAATGCTGCAATGTGAATTCCCAGCTATCTCAAGCTGCTTTTAATGTCCACTCTGGCACAAGACTAATGACACTGCCCGGCTTTTAGCATGGAAACAGCACACAATAAACATTGCTCAAGCAGGATTGCTTTTTGTATGTGCTTTGCAGATAGTGTTCTCAGATGTGTTATTATAATTTCTTATATTTAATTTGATTTGAATATTAAGTGCAGAAGGATGGGAAATATGTTTGTATGCAGTAAATAGAAATAATATTAAAATAATTGACAATATTGTCAAAATATTTCATATTGGAGGCCGTTACTTTAGTTACAATGAAGCCTTCGTTTCCATATTGATGAGCTGGATTTTAATTTACCACCAATTCAGTCTTTAGCAAGTAATCTTATATAAAAACGTAGTGCAGGATTCATAGATATGTGAAATTTGCTCTTCTGCAGTCTGTATTTTGCTGTCTATCCATTTTGCACCATGTGTATGTGTGTGTCCTGTGGTGTTTGCATGTTTTGTGCTGCGTCGGTGCTTCGTGTGTGCTTTGTTTTGCACCGTTTGTGTGTAGGACATGGTGGAGCTACTTGCAGAGGGCGCGCAGCTAGCGGAAGAGCTGAGGCAGATTGTGGATTATACACAGGGAGGCAGCCTAGCAAGATTAAGAATAAACAACACAAGGCACACTGGATGTGATGTAGATGTGTGTATGGTCATTATGCATGTGTGTGCCGTGATGACTATTTTAAAACAAAGCTCTCAGATTTGCATTTTTTATTTATTTAGTTTAGAACATACTGCTTTTTTTGTGTTATTTATTGTCTTCCTTTGCTCTAGGAGGTGGAGCAGCTTCGTCTGGAACGGATGCAGATTGACGAACAGTTGCGTCAGATTACCCAGGGCCACCGACCAGTTGACAGGGACAGGGGAGAGAGGGGGGAGAGAGGAGGCGGGTATAATACAGAAAACAATGCCAATGCCTCCTCTACGTCCGTGCATGGCAGTCGCTCCTACAACAGCCGAGGGCGTGGACGCAGGGGCCACAACTACAGCACTGGATATGGTAGGCATCTCTAAAAATCAAACGCTATATGTGCAAAAAAATCACATATACAGTAAAATCATGCAGGAGGTCAAATGTTTGGATTGTTCGCACCTATAACAAGGTGTATAACTATCTCCTTCTTTCTCCCTCTTTGTTCTATCCTTTTTACGTGGGTTATTCTTTCTTTCTTTCTTTTTCTTTTTTTGTCTTCTCACGCGTGTTTGGTTACACTCAGGCAACACCTCAGAGCAGTCCAACGCCTCTGAGACAGATTCTGAGCGCAAAGATGAGCTGAGTGACTGGTCTCTGGCTGGAGAAGATCATGAAAGGTGAGCTTACTATGATCCATATATTGCATTATCTCACCAGTTTTTGAATAAACTGCTGGTTGCTGTTCTGTGTGATCAATTTCATTTGGTTTGGTGGACTTGCAGGGAGCGGGAGAGAGGCCCACGGCCACAGAGAGATGGCCGCAGAAGGCCAGGACCCGGCCGAGGAAGGGGAAGGGGACGAGGAGGAAGAGGAAGTTACAGCAACAGCTCTGGTAAAATTGATAATTCAAGGAAAGTAGGGACACTCTAATTTGTCTAGGGAGCTTGGAAAGAAAAGCGTCTGGACTTCTTTAAGTTTCCTTGAAGATGTTTCATCCAAGAAGCCTCTTCAGTTCTGGACTGAAGCTTCAAGTTTCCTTGAAACGTCTTTCAGGAAACTTAAAGAAGGCCAGAAGCTTTTCTTTCCAAGTTCCTTAGACTACGACCTGGATGATTGAGAACCTTCACAGACATATTGACACTCTAAGTTATCATTTTCTTCTGTTAAAGTTCTGTTTGAAAGTTTTTGCCTATTAATCTGATCCTGTATGTGCAGCAGGGCCTCGAGACCATGAGGATAACCATCACTATGGAGCCTTGGAGGTAAACACAGAGACCGATCAGACAGCTGATACAGATGCTAGCGACTCCAACTTGCCTGCTAACCGCCGCAGAAGATCTCGGCGACGCAGAACAGATGAGGATACCACTCTGATTGATGGCATGAGCGAGTCAGACAACGCCTCTATGAGTGAAAATGGAACAGGTATGAACGTTACTAGATATTTGTTGTTGTTGTTGTTGTCTCGCACAGTGTTATACCAGGTTATACCGACTGCTGTTCTGAGCTGTCAGGACTGTGCAGCAGTGCATCATTTCTATTTTGAAACATAAAGGGCGTCAGTGCAGCTCAAAGTAGATCACAATTGTAGATCGCGATGTAAGTCCCTCCACCCCAATCCCTGTGTTTGTGATGACCTGACACCTTTAGATGACCAGGAAGCTAAACCTCAACGTCGTAATCGTAGCCGGCGTCGCAGAAACCGTCTGCCTGAAGAGAGGCAGCCAGGTAACCAGGCAACTGGATCACCTAGTGTGCCTTCCTCCAGTGAGCACTCTGAATGACTTGACTAAAAAAACCTTGTGTTTGTTTGTGTTCCACCAACACCATGCTAAACACAAACTATGGAAAACTGAGCAGTCGTGTTCTTGGCTTTTGCTATTTGATTCAATATGGCTGATCAATACTGTAATATAGCATTTTCTAACAAGGTTTGGTACGTAGAAATATAAGTATGCATCTCTTTTTAGCAGAAAACCTTTTTTTTACTAATAACTTGGTCACAACTTGCTTTTGCTTTGTCATGCTGACATTAACAGCAATTAATAGTCTTGTTTGTGTGGTGTGTCATTGTAAATTGTTCTAACATATTTTGGTGTAATCTTGAATCTAAAATGCATAATTAGTAAAAAGTTATTCTCAGACTGTGAGAAAGGGCACTTTTTCTTTAACTGTGTACACAGGTTTAATAGTAATTCACTTCACACTGCAAATGCTGCTGTTGTGTGTGTTTCACTAATCTACAAGAACTGTGACTAAAGACGATACAATCCTGATGAAGTTTGGAATATCTGAAACAGATTTGTGCAGCATTCCTCTGCTCTGACATGAAGGAGTCAGTCTTCATGTGTTTTCATAGTTTATTTTCTCTGTTGTTGTATTTGTGCAGTTACTGTGGCTGACTACATATCCAGGGCTGAGTCTCAGAGCAGACAGATGATCGAGAAGGACTCCCAGAAAAACAAGGATGTGGTCAGTATCTAGTTTACAATATCCTCACTTCTCGCTGCTTTAAAAGCCTGGCAGTCAACGGTGATTTAGTGTGAATCCATTCATTTGTCATTCTCTCTCATCCATCACGCACTGTTTGTCCCACCTTTCTGTTTAGGGTCAGGTGGATGTCATCGCTGAACACAGCCCAAACTCTGCCGTGGCAACCACTAATGGTTCTAACGGTGCAGCCGATGGCGACGGCAACAATGGCACAAGAGCTCCCAGGTCTTCCACTGAGAAGACCACTAAAGTCTCCTACAAGGAGGAATCTAACCCAGAAGCTGTTGTTAATGGACTCTCCTAGTCAGGGCAAGGAAAATGGTTTCAAATATTTGAACTTCTAGAGCTGCACTTGATTGAATCTCCATGACTGGAGCAGCTTCAGAAGTGAACCATAACATTTAAAGCACTGTTCTCTCTCTCTCTTTTTTATTTTAGATTTTCCAAATATTTGTGACCTGTTCCGCTGTGCAAATTTCAGAGGTCAGAACCTGAACCTCCCTTTTTACACCTGTTTTATCCAACTATTCATTTTACTTTTTTTTTTTTTTTTTACAATAGTTCTTCCTGTATGAGCTTGCCAAAGATAGTCAAACACACATAAACTTACAGATGTGTACATGAACTGTGCTTTTCAGTCCTGTCTTCACTGAGAGCTCTGGGAGAGGCTGCACTGAGTACAGCGTTTATTAAATCAGACAGGGATTCCACTCAAACCCATACTGTGGTATGAATGCAGCAGTCCTTTTTCTATTCGTAGAAACATCACAGCAGGGTTTTAAAACATTAACAAAAAGAAAAAAAAAAAAGCCTTTTCCTAGTTGGATCCAGAAAAATGCTTCCATAAACTTATTTCAGGATGTAAATTAACTGATCTGCATGGGCAGTAGCACAGTGCAGATTGGCTTGTTGGAAACCCCAAGTATGTTTGACATACACGTGATTAGCTGTCGTGCCTTGAGAGTAGATTCAACATGTCGTTGCCTGGCTCTGCATGCCATCTGAAATCCTTTCACCTGTTTCTGTGTTAGCCTTCATCTGCCACAGCGGAACCAGACACGGCGTCTCCATGTGCTAAATGTTCTCTTATGGTACTGCGGGAGGTGAAGGCAACCACTGAAACACCCCAAAAGGATTTTAGGGGCATCTTTTTAAAGTCAGGAGTGTCTGTTCTCGTTGTGGGGAGGGTGGGGATGAATCCAGTTATCCTTTATATATATATAAATATATATATATATAAATAAATATATCTGTTGAAGAATTTCACATTAGCTGCTTCCTGTTTTTCCAATATGCAACCACTTGGGTCACAGAAGAAATGCTTTTACATCGTGTCTGGAAAAGAAACTGTAGAAGAGTTGTTTTCTTTGCACTGAAACATAACCTTTCTTCTGTTTAAAACGTGATTGTAGTTGAGTCTGAAAACTGGCTTGTTACCGTTTAGTGCTGGACAGATATGTACCATCAGTGCTCGGTCACCTGGAAACATCTCATTCCTAAACATTGTTTCATTACGTACATCACGAGTAATGCTTGATGCTGATTAATTTTTTCCCTCACTAGGAATTCAATAAAGTCACTTGAGTTTCTTTTAGGTTATTGTCCACTTTTATCTGCCCACTGTTGGGGAAAACAGAGCCCTGTAAAAACCGACCACTGCGGTGTTGAGATGTTTCCAGAAAACCTTGCCCAGGTGACGATGTCATTTTCATGGTTCTTCCACACTGGCTGGCTGGAAACTGGTCATGACTGTTCCACTAAGGAAGGAGATATATTTGGTTTATTTATTTTTAAGAAAATGTACAGTATTTAAAAAAACAAACAAAAACAATCTCTTCTGTTTTCTTGACACTAACATGCGATGCTTAGAGGTTTTCTTTTGGGACAAATTTGGACTACTGAGAGTTGTGACATCCCAAGTGTTTTTGTTGGGTCAACTACAGTAAAGTTTTTTTTGTTGTTTTTTTAAGGATCGTCTGGTTGGTTGATGTGCAATATGTTTTGTATGCAGGTGGTTCTTAAATAAACTTGATCTTTCGTGTAGATCTAAAACCCATCTCTGTGTCTTGCTTGTGACCGTTAGCTGTACACATACTTTTCGGGAATGCTGCGTCGCTGCATTGTGTGGAGATTCTGATTTGGATAGCGAGTGTGACAATAACCTGTGTTTACTGATGTGTAAAGTATACTGGTGCAGTTCAAACAAGGTTTGTCTTTTTCAAAAACTGAGACATGACCCACATCCTCTAACTCTTGACCAAGTTTATTGAAAAGTGTCTTGTTAGTTTTTGTATTATTCTGCAGCCAGAAAGATTATTAAATGTATGAATACAATGTAGGCATCCTTTACTAGCCATGATTTGTATATGATAGCTGTGGTGTCTCTTTTACAAGTTAAAAACTTATGAAATAAGAAATAGGAAAAGTTGTCTTTGGCTTAACGTAATGAAGTGTTTTCACCACAGATGGGATCCTGCCAACACACCCTCTGTGGAGTCACAGGCAGTTTCATGTTGCTAAGTTCACAGACTTAGAAGCTGTTGATTTGGTCACCACTCATGTTTCAGTATCCATCAGACAGAATTTCTTTTTCCGCATACAACCGGCTTCTTTTCACTGGCTAAGCTTCAAAACATTTCCATATGCAAATGCAAAATGTTTCACCTGCTTAAGTTGATTTAAATGCCACAAATCTGCTTTTGAGTGAATTAACCTGTCACATCGGAACATCGCATAAGTGTAATTTCAGTAAGCACAGAAACTTTTTTGAAGTTTCTGCTAATGCTAAAGTGTTCAAACCAACTAACATTTTACCACATTAACAACAGCGTGCTGTCGCTAAAAAAACATTTTCAAGTTAATGCAACATAATATTCACGTCCAAATGTATCTAGTAAAATCACAAGTACAAAAACTGTCTTTGTTCTCTCTCGAAATGCATAATACTCAATGACTCCATTAAGTTTAGTAACTGCTTATGAGACATCTGTAGGTTGGACTAAGAAACACACTTCATGTGTGATCTTAAAAAACGCAAAACAACAATTTGAAGTTCTGTCAAATGGAAACCTCTTTATAGAATTTCACAAAGTCAATATAAACTGAGCAGTAATAATGACAGGATTCTGGTCTGCACTTGTACAGCGTGATTTTATTTTTAGAACAATCAGTTAGAAAAACTTTCAAGTCAGTCAGTGCATGAATAAGCATCTCCACTTTTATTTCTTGGCCTGCCCGTCCATCAGATCCTTTGCTTCGTTTATCTTTGCTGCTAAGTAGGGAGATCCACCTGCAACACACACACACACATAATCACACTTCACGTTGAACAACAAAACAGTTTCTTTTACTCTGCAGGATGCTGACAATACACCTAAGACCTGTTAACAGACTCGCCACTCATGCTTAACAGCTCAGGACTACATTCTGAAGTTAAACGTTATGTAAACTTTAATCATACAGCACCTTTCACAGGTCAAAACCTACAAAGTGGGTAAATAAAAACAATAAAAACAGGCATATAAAAACACAGAAGATAAAACGATAAAACAGCATACATATGACATCATACAGCCTAAAACTAGTTAAAAGCCAGTCTGAATAAGCGAGTCTCCAGCTGCTTGATTTTTTTGCATGATCAGCTTTTCATTGTAAATAAAGTGCAATTGTGAAACGTGGTCACTGATTTTTACGAAGGTTCTCGAGCCAGTGCAGTGTTTTCCAGAACAGAGCTGTGTTGGTTTTTCTGCAGTGATGCCTCAGACTTGTGTGCACAAATACCAGGAGGGTTGAAAGCTTTTAAAGTCTGAGAAGAACTTCATTCCTTGATTTTATTTTTTTGTTGACTGCAAACAAGTTTGAAACTATTTTATTGTTTTATACACCTTGATATATGATCCTAAAGCTGAACACCTATCTGGACTTTGTGGACCTTGTATCATATTTGTACATTTGGCAGGACTATGTCTGAATGAACTTTTTATGCTTATTCTTTACTCTCAGATCACTGGCTGCAGCTGAGATAATAAAGCTAAAACTGTCTTACACAAATGGAGCATTCACTTTTATTCTGTCAGCCTACTTTGTGTCTTAATCATAGAGCTGTGATACTTATGTCTTTTACAGTCTTGACCCAAGTCCTTAAAGCACACAGGCATTCTTACATTTTAACACTAAACTACTGCACAGTGCTTGACATTTCCAGACACTGACACTGCTAACGTGATTGCTTTCAGCCTGAACTGTGTGCTTAACCTCTTCATGTTTTATATAATCTTACTTTCTTCCCCCATTTTTGTAAAAATTCTGCTGCTCTGCTTTCAGTATATATGTCTCTGATTGTTCTGATGCTTCAACGCAGCCATTTTTATCCAAATTTGCTGACAGCTACACTGGGAAGTCCCTGCTTGACTTATAAAGTTGACCACCGTTGTAGGCAAAGGCAAGTGAAGCCAGATAATGGAAAGATACTCTGAGTATACTGAACTTTGTTCATTGTATTTTAGTAGTATTTTGTTTATTTTTTATTTTCACTAGATAACAGACTCATCAGAAAAATAATCAGTCTATGAGTAAGCACTAAGCTTTCTCTTACCTCTATCTGGATGGTTCAGGATCATCAGTTTTCTATGAGCTTCTCTGATCTTATTCTTGTTGGCTGTGGGACTGAAGACAGAATAGTGGTGCAATAGTAAATGTATGTAACAGTGAGTTATTATGAGTGATTAGTGGTGGTTGTTAAATGTGCTGCTGTAGTGGAGAGACTACAAACAACACAACAAGGTAGCCGTGCAGCACAAGACCAAACCTCTCTGAACCTGGAAGTATTGTAACATCACAGATAGACTAAGAATCAGTGCTGAGTGCTCATCAGCATCCACATACCTGACACCTAAAACCAGAGCAGCTTCTCTCTTTGTCATCTTTGGTTCAAATCCACCTCTATAGTAGCCTCCTCCAAATGCCTGAAACAATGTGTGCAGTCGAGGTTACGAGTTAGGAAAGAGAAAACTAAATGCAGACTGAATGCAAAGACCAACATGTGTCTGTGTTTTCTGCACATCAAACTGGCAGAGTTATCACAGCAAACACGGGTTCCTTCTTACAGTTTTAGGGAAGCTCTGAAGGGCCTGTTTCATCTGGGGTTCCATCTGCTTCATGGCCTGCATGGCATAGCGACCTGGTACATGAAAAAGACGAGACGTTTACAGTGATGGGCAAATCCACTTTATCTCAGATGACAAATCAATCTGTGGATTTGTCCCTTAAATGTTTTACTGTTAACACTGATGCGGTTTAGGGTTGGGCGCCGGAGCAACTAACAATACTTTTCCCACGATAATGCTACTATCACAGTACAACAATACAGATACAGTACTTACACTACAAGACAACCTGTAATATATGAAAATCTGAGAATATATTAAATAACAAAAAATCACCTAGACTCACCTAGCTTAACCGAACTACCAAAATAAATTTGTCTTACATCCACTGAGGTCTTCAGTTTCTGCTTAATAATTTATTTGTTGAAAATCAATAAAAAGCCACATAACTTAGAAACTATGATTCTTACAAGTGTGTTGTGTACTGTAAACATATAGAGAGCATTGTGTAAAGATTTAAAATATCATCACATTTGACCTCTGACCTCTCCTTTAAAGTCAAAGAATGTCAAACTTTCATCTTTTATCTGTAAAACTACTTCAAGTTCTACTACCTTTGTTTAGGACATGATACTGGTATATGGGGATTCTAAAAGTCACAGCATAGTTTGCCTCCAAATATCATGTCACCTCTTCCCTCACTTTTACATTTCACGCCTGCCTTTCTTTCAAGTTTATTAATATTATACAATAAACTCCAGTTATTCATGACCACCTATTTACAAATGAATACCTATAATCCATGACCTACTCCAAAATAATGTTTGTGGAATCAAAGTAAGCATGTCATGCCACCCTTATCTGATTTTTTCCTGCACTTCAAACTTCCTAAACTTTATATAATACTACTCCCTTAAAAGTAAATACTGCCCAGAGATTAAACGACGTTGGCAGAGGTTTGCACTCTCGGGTTTCTGTAATGTACAGTAGGGCAAAAAAGTATTTAGTCAGCCACCGATTGTGCAAGTTCCCCCACTTAAAATGATGACAGAGGTCAGTAATTTGCACCAGAGGTA